TCAGAAGGTTGCTTGTTCACATCACGTCGGGGTCACCAGTTGTAGGAATATACGACAAAGGGAAGATCTTCCACCGAGCGGGTGATATTGCTCGGTAGACCGACGGTCCAGATATTGTTGTTCGGAACTTGTATATATGCCGCCACAATTACTGCTTCACGGCAGAAATAGGCAGGGCGTAGGTAGGTAGGTACCACCTACCTACCTACGCTATCGAGAACGTTAAACGCACTAAGCACACTGAACACACTTTGTGTTGTACTGTAAGCAGTTTGTACGAAACGGAACTATTCACGACTGCTCACCGCTGTTGGCCTGTTTGACAGTATGTTATTGGAATGAACGATGATTGCAAATCATTATAAATACTTGGTGCAATCACCGCTACCACATATGCAGCACATAAGCATCGTTATTTACAAAAAAGAATACAAATTACAAGCTGACTGGACTAAATAAAGAAAGTATAAAAGTAGGTTAATAAAACTTGACAAATTAACAAAAAATATGGCTCTTTGTCCTCCGAGGTGTGCGTAATTCCGTTGTCTCATTTCATCCTGAGAAAAGAGCACGCTGGCAATAATAGACCCAGAGACATCCAAGTTCATTTGTTATTTGTATTCTGATTTACCTCACCTCACTTTTGTTCTCTTAAATAATTTGAATTTAAGTAGAAGTGTTGTCATAAATTTAAAACCGGAGTTTTTGAAATTTTTTTTTTTTCTACGAGTGTCTTCTTTAGATCATATAGAATTTATTCATACCTCACCAGTTCAAAACTTAGGTATACGTTAATTATGGTTAGTAGTAATAGTAATTAGTTAGTTAATTAATAATCCTATAGTATTTCAATGAAAATTTAACAATTCACAAAGTGGTTTTGTGGTTTTCAACTCTCGATTAATTTCGGATATTGATTCGAATGCAATATGGAAATTTCAAGTTCATTAAAGTCCTTGATGATAAACAGTTACCGCAGCAAATAGAAGTTATAGCGTGAACTTCACCCCCTTTTTCACATATTGAGGTCTGGGATCTGGGACTGTAAGAAAGGTTCTTAATTCTAATCTGGGACTGTAAGGTGATTATCATGACGCATAGCCTTATCGAAGTACCGTTGCCGCCGCTGACTACTCCCCGACTCCTAATCATGCAAGAGCCAGTCACCGTCGACGCCCTAGACACGTCCTTACGGATGTATCAGATCCAATACCTTTGCATTAGACGCCTTCAGCTCTAATACTAGGAGCAGGCTTAGAGACCCCGCTAACCGTACTCGTCGAACTCGTCAAAGAGGTCGACGTGTAAGCTTACCCATGCATCAGCCCGCTGAGTTTCTCGCCGGATCTTCTCAGCGGGTCGCGATTCCGGTCCGGTAGTAGATCCATTCGCGAAGCAATTGCTCTTGAGTTGTTAGGTCTCCTTTGGAGGCGCTCGGGCAGTTGTTAGCAAATCCCACCCCTCCTGGCTGAGCCTTTGCTCGCCCACCTGTCTTGGTGAAACTGAAAAGGCCTTTGGGCTACCAGTAAAATTTCAATCATAAAAAAAAGTGTTTGCGGATCGATTTGAGGCCCAGGTCTTGTTGTAACTCTAAGTTCTACAATCCAAGCATGTTGAAGTTCTAACATGTCTCATTACTATAATGTTAACTGTAGAAACGCACCAAATAATTTCGTTATAAAATATATAATAATAACGGTAATAATTATTTATTATTAAATTGATTTATTTGGTTTCAAACGATCCGTCAGAAAGGAGAGGTGAAATCGTGCTTTATAAAGCGTTAGTTTTTTTTAGGTGTTGTAGAAACCAAAATGGCTTGCCTATCTTTGGATATTTCAAATCATTCTAATAATAAAACAGTTACGTTAGAGACTAACAGAAGATAAACAACATAATTGTCGAATTTACAATGAAATAGGATAATTCAGGTATAAAATTAAAAGAAATACCTATTAATATTTGATAAGATTAAATTATAATGATAAAAACATTTCATTTTACTCCTACGTATTAATGACATTTTTGTTTAACATAAATAAGGCACGAACAGCAGATGTGTCTAGTGAATTGTCTCATAATCAGTAGGTACTAATCAGTACTATCGCTTTTCCAGAGAGATTTCCCACCCTCGCGGCCTCGTGTGGAAAAGTTTTTTTGTAAATATTCGTCATTCAGATTTTCTTTGTGACTGTTCTTCAAAAGTACAGAATTACTTTTAATCATAAAGAAATTGACGAAACAAAATTGTTATTTGTCTTTCTGTGAACCGTTAATTAGTCCGTTGGGGTAAATTTTGTTACGCAAAATACGGCAAATGTTTTTAAATGGAGAATACTTTTTTTTTTATTTAAGTGAGTTTTGTATAATTAACTTAATTAGAGTGGAGAGAGAGCTTTAGTGAAGTTAATTTATCATTGTTTTTATACGCACACAGAAATGAGAAGTTTATTTTATATCTACTGATGTGTACTTTTTATTTTAGGAAAGATAAAACATACTAAAGATCAATAAGTACTGACATGATACAGAGAATAAAATTGCATTGGGCAATACAGTAAAAAGTCGCTTATCAAAGTAAGTATCGCAAATAGGTCAAGGATTTTTATTGCTTGTAATCATATCTTCTTCTTCTTCTTCTTTATTTTTGGCTCTGGCACGTTTTGTGCATTAGCCAGCGTCAAGTAATAACGTTTTTATAATTCGCCGTTTTATTTATTTACAGTTTATAAATAATAAAAAACGAAGGAAACTTATCGCAACAAAACATAAATGATTTAGAACGAATTGAATTTACAAAAAAAATCAGAATAATTATATAACAGGGANTTTAATACAATTTTATTGTAAAATATAAATAATATTCTTTTATAGTTTGAAATTAATGATTAACTCTTCACACTCATTGTTCATTCATGTGATTGAACGAGAACTGAACGCATCACTATTACTTTAAATATAGCAACATTATTTCACAAAGTGACATTAGCTACTGTCAGCTGGCTTCGTCTAATTAAAAATCCGACTATAAGACGAAATCAGCCTCTCGCTTTGGTGTGGGACAGGCACCATGAACATGATTTTTTCCAAGACTATTTCAAGGAATACTCAGGATTTTACGTGCTCACAATCCACCACCCTACGACTACTGAATACGCCATTTAATAAATTGATTACACGATCGGGCTTCAACTCATTACTTAATAATTATTTGAAGTCTTTCGTGAACAGGTTATATAAGTATTTTATACACTACGCATATTCTCAAGAAAGTTGATATCTACCTGCCCTGAGATCACATCGTTATATCATCATATTCGCATAACTATATAGATACACTATTTTCCTGATAAGGCACGGATGTCTCAATTCTAATCCGTAAAATCTTATCAAATACCTATCAACCTATCCTTCACCACAATGTCTAACTACTCTCTTGTATCCTATGTTCCATGTGAAATGTTCTGAGGAATTGTTTGACTTTGTTATTATTCTACCGTCGTAACTCTGACGACCTGGGTCGAATCATTCCTACTAATTCATCATTCAGTTCTTTTCCACATATAATTTTGCCACGTACTATGCAATTTCCGAATGACAGCGGTGCGACATGTCTTCAGCGGCATGGCTGTGCTAGGCATTACCGTCTTGCATAACCACCATTGACTACTAGGGGGAACGTATCGACGCTTGAAAGGCAAACGTGACTAAGCGCCAATAACTGCTAAATGATAGGCAATAACCATATTCAATGCGCAAAAAAAATATATTTCTAGGTCTATTAAAATTATTTCAATCCTACAGCTAGATTCGTTAAAATAGATTTTTTTAGGTATATTTCAACTTTAAATTAGTCTACTGTAAAGTTTACGCATTGTCGCTTAGTCACGTTTGCCTTTCAAGCGTCAGTAAGTATGCTCGTTTGTCTTTAAAACCAATGAAAAATATTAAAATCAAATATAGGATGTTAAGATATTGTAGAGCCTAACGGAGAAGTTTGTTTTGTTTAGTTTATCTTTTTAGACTAGATCACTAGGTCACCGTAGACATTAAGAACGTAAATATAGTCACCCATTTTGAGAGATGAGTTCTAAGAATGAGTATTATATCACAACCGCTGCCCCGCCCTTCCAACGGGAACGCATTAGCGCTTCGCGGCCGAAATGGGTGGGTTGGTGGTATCTACCCGTGCGGGATCGTTAACAAAATGTTCTACAACAGTTCTTTTTTACTCGAAGGTATTCGTAAGTTTCGTTTTATTTATTTTTTATTATTGCTTAGATGAGTGGATGAACTCACAGCCCACCTGGTGTTTAGTGGTTACTGGAGCCCATAGACATCTACAACGTAAATGCGCCACCCACCTTGAGATATAAGTTCTAAGTTCCCAATAGGTATAGTTACAACGGCTGCCCCACCCTTCAAACCTACCACTAGTAAAAACATAAATTATAATTTTGCGGGTTTGATTTTGAAGTGAAAACTTCTTTAGAATCGTTGTGATTTCAAACCGGATGCAACGGAAAAAACGATAGGTAAGAGACACAAATACAAAAATGTGTAGGATGAAGCCAGCAAAGAATGAGACAGAAATATACATACTATTTAATACAGCGCCATCTGTGAAATTTTTTAATACTAACGTGTGTATGAAAGCTCTTGTAGTGAATTTTAATTTAGGATTATACGTGAAATTAAAATATCAATTCACAGAGGGCGCTACCTTACAATTATTTACTAATGACAAAATTTTACATATACTTGAGACGTTTAGGATAATTGTATTTTAATTTTGGAAGGTTTCACTTCTACCACGTGTGAATTGCACACATTTGTTTTTTTTTTATTACAGGATGTTATGCCTTCACCGTGGAAATCAATCATGAACATTTGTATTAAGTAAAACTACCAATGATTACCGTTACAATTCGACATTTCCTAAGATACCTATATCATCGTATCTATATGTGACCAAGGAAACAAAATAACATAATTTCACATTTTTTATTTTGTATACTCCCAAAAACACTGAATCACATTCATACGTTAAATAACTATAATTAATTATTACAAATCATTCGTTTCTAAATTAACTAAATGCATTGTTTATGACAACAGTTTGGGATTAATTTTAAGACAAGCTGTTCGTTTTACTCGCATAAAGTTATGAGCTAGGGTCATTAACTCGCATATAAATTTAATAGTTTTTGTATGGTTAGTGAATTTTTAAACAAAAATAAAGGTTAATAAAATAAATAAATAAAGGTTAGTAGTGCATTCTATTTTCTGTATTGTAAGTAGCATATACATACTACACTACTATTGGCTAGTTAGTGTCAACCCTAGCTACAGCTGTAACTCATCCAGACGGTAGCCGATACACACTTGACTCTCCTTTATTAAACCACTCACTCACTACCATATTGTTTAGATCAAGACCAAATATAAATTAACCATTAATCGTTAATCAAGATTCAAAAAAATCTACAAATAAACAATTTTCATATGCAAGACTGGATCGGATGTTTGATTATTTAATTATTTATTATTTGTATATATAATAAAATGTGTATAAACGTGTATTAATCTAATTGATCACTGTGCAGTGCTTTTAAAAACTTACACTGGACATCAAGCCATGTGTATATATAATAATCACTAGTTTGTACCACTCGTTCACATTTGAAATATTGTCTGGTGTGAGCAAAAATTATTTAAAGTAAGACAACTTCTGAAAACTATATACTCTAAAATTACTTAACTTATAAAATTATTAATTGACCGAATGTATTATGCGGATCGAATAGTCCGTTGCCATAAACCTAGAAACAACATTCTACAGTCTATAAATAGTACTCAAATCAATGAAAGGAACATAACTCTGAAATGTTATAATACTAAATCTATGAATAAAATTTTAAATTAAAACTGGGGTGTCCTCAATATATTGTAAAATCGTAGTAGAAGGCGTTACGCGCCTTACATTAACTTTAAGTTGCTTAGTAGCGAACATGGCTGAGCTTACATGTCCAAATCAAATATGAGATCGTTTTTAAAGGAAACTTCTAAATATTTTCCTTTGTTTAACCTTTCGGGATCGTAGAGGTCCGTTTTGTGTTTAATATTTTCGCAATTAATAGAATCTCCTTCGAGTTTCTTCGAATGCTTTCCGGAATCCCGAAATTCTGATTTCGCGTCAACGATTCCAGCCTTGTTTACGTATTTTGTCGGTTTAGCGTTTATGTTGAATTCGTGATTGTTGTACGAATCCGATGTTTTGCATTCTTCGGCGTCGGACGTGTCCGCTAGACCGCTGTCGCGTCGCTGTTTCAATGCTGACTTCGACCTTTGTTTGGAACTCTGCGAACATAATATTCATAAAGACGTTTAAAATGATATATCTCAGTATCTTTAACATACTTAAGAACATACTTGTTTTCGTTTTTTGACCTATAAAACGGAGAAAAAAAACGCTGACGATTTTGTTGCGTTATTTTGTAGAAACTCCTATGTAAATTACAAACATGAAACAACGCTTCTGCTAAATAAGTTGTTTTTGTAACTCGAACGGTCTGCGTTATTAGTGTCCGTTCACACGAGAACGAAGAAAGTTTGTAGAAATACGAGAAAATAATGTCACGTTTTGATTCATTCTTAAAAAACAAAATATGTATTACTAAACTGAACAATTGTTTTATGTATGTTATTATAAACTTGATAATGATATTTTATTGACAAATATACGTTTATAAATAGAATTTGGGCCAAAAGACTCCACGAGAATGGGATCATCGATAATCCGAACGGCCCTCTTCTTTACAGAGTCAAAGGGAAGTAGCTGGTATTTGGGAGCCCCGGCCTAGAGGTGGGACCAGTACTCCACGCGATGACAAACTTGTGTTTTGTAAAGCAAGTCTTTGTCCATGCGTGAAATACCGCTTCGCTATATAGAGAATTCCCAGTATTTTGGACGTCAACTTGCCCTTGAAATGACTCCAAAATTGGACATACATCGAAACATCGACCCCTAGTATCCCAATACTCGTGAAAGGTTGCAAGGATACTCTTTGGACTTGCGGCACCATGACAAGAGTCCTTTTTCGGAGTGAACGCGCAACCCTGGGTTCAATGGGTTGAATTGAAGTGTTCAGAGTTTTCTTCACTTCAGACCCATGATTTGATCGTCTCTCCTGCACTATGCTTCGAGACACTCTGATGCCTGACATATCGCACATCCCGGTGTTTGTCATCTGCATAACGACGCAAGCCATCAATAGATAGAATGGCATTGATTTACAGGATGAAAACCGTGGGGGAGAGCACTGATCCTTGTGGAACGCCAGAACTAACGGTCATGCTATAGGAGCAGCAGTCGTCTACGACTGTAATTCTCCGCTTATCCAAATAGATAGCAAACTACTTGCAGAGTCGCTGGGGTATTCCTTAAGGTGATAACTAAGCAAAAGTGACGTATGCGAGACCGTATGAAACGTGTTTATTTTTTATTCGCTTCATCAACAAGCTTATAGCAATTTTTTTTATTGCTTAGATGGGTGCACGAGCTCACAGCCCACTTACTTGCACCGTTACTGGAGCCCATGGACATCTACAACGTAAATGCACCACCCACCTTGTGATATAAGTTCTAAGATCTCAGTATTGTTATAACGGTTGCCCCACCCTTGAAACCACCAGTAGTAGTAAGTAAGAAGCTAACGTACCTGAAGAGTATTTCCACATTCTTCTTCTGCTTCACTTTCACTTTTCCTTCTCTCCAGATTTCTCTTTTTACTCTTCTTGCGTTGATTTTTCTTTTTCTGACCTTCAATAGAAGAATTGTACCTGAAAAAATAATGTAATATACATTAGACAACATAAACTTATGAAATCCACTATTATCATTTCTTGAAAATAACAAACGCAGATAAGAAAGATTGATATATAGATAGTGAAATAAATATTGATAAACACGTATTGAAATCATTACTCAATGGTTTGATTTATTCAAGGCATTTCCATGAGTAAGCTAAGTAAGTTTCAATGAGTAAATAAATCAAACTGTATGCAAATTATTCGCAATAATTGGATTTGGGTTGCATTGGGTATTCGTTTGAGCAAAACATTGGCAGTTTTATATTCCTTTAAATAAGTATGGGGCCTCAAATTATTTTAAACTCCAAATGAACACTGGTTTATCTTTCTACTGTAAAAAAATTCAAAAGATTATGTTTCACCCAAATTGATAAAGATATTCAATATCATAAATATTTACCTGTAAAACTGTCTAGCGATAACATTATTAAACCTAACAGTCTTTTTAAAACTAGACTCTTCAGGTATGCAGTCAGAGCTAATGTAATCCATAGATGATGCAATATCTCCAATGCTTGATTCAGAATAACTGCGAGAGCTGGATTTACGGAGTATACTCTTGGCTCCAGTCTCACTCCTGTATGTCTCAGTCCACACAATTTTTCTGTCTTCTAGTGTGTATGAATCAATATCATCATCGCAGTCATCAACATTGGTAGATACAACAATGTTAGTCTCAGAACCTAAGTTTGTTACTTCAACAACTGGAGTAACTAATTCTGTTACCGCTGTGCTAGGATTTTCTTCAGATGAAGAGTCATTTTTTTTAAGCTGGGAATTGTCTAAATGTTCTTCAGTCAAAGAATCACCTAGACCAATTAGAAATTTTTGTGGAACATTACTATTAAGCTCAATTTGTAAAATGACATTGTTGTCCCAAGCTTCTCCAACAACATTTTCAAATACAACGTTATCATTGAACACAATAGTTGCAGCATAGTGAATAGGCACAAAACCAGAGCCTGTAGAAGTAAATTTAATATTAATTTTGGAACCATCAGTTTTAACTTCAACTGAATCAGGTTCGGTGTTTTTCACGTGGAATGTTAAGGCAACTACATCATCGAGGATGTTGTATGTGTATTTAGGTAGGGTGTAGGCAAGAGATTCTTCAAAAAAATTATTTATTCGATTTTGAGTACAGGGTTCAATTATTTCCTGAATCTTGCTCTCAGTTGATGAAAGTTTCGTTACTAAATTTGAGGAATTATTATTCTCCTCATCACTTTGGGAAGCATTTGATTCACTTTCAAGACCACTATCTATTTTGTGGCTGTCTTTATTTGTTTGAACTAAATTTTTCTTAACCACTGGTAGGGTTACTATGAGCTTATGTAAACTTTTGTCAAACTTAGCATTACCACATTCTTCATTTACTGGATAGGGAAGAGAGATATTTAATTTATATTTGGCTGGTTTTTCAGATATCAAATATAAAGATTGTTCTTTCACATCTAAAGTGCATTCTTTAGTAGAAGATAAAAGTGGCAAGTTTACTTCAATGACAATTTGACTTGGTATAGCAGAGTATTGTTTGCTCTCTCTATGGTATGTAAATTCTTGAAGATCTATATTCTTTTGCTGTTTTATGACATATTTAGGTATAGTATACCCATTATCAGTTATGTGATTAAATTCTGAAAGTACTTTTCTGGGTTTTTTCCATTGATCTATTACAGGTTTACTTGCTTTGAATACCTCAGTATTTTGATCAGAGTATGAATGTTGAGGATACAATTTTTCCATTATCTCTGGCGATAAATCCTGGCTTTCTTCTTCATCGGGGGGCTTATAGTTAGGGTCTTCTTTTCGTATCACCGCTGGTACAGCCATACCCTTGTAAGATGATTTTGGAAGCCGAAAATTATTGACGTCCAAATGAATATTATAAGTTTTTTGTAACCCCTCAAATGCTGTATTATTAACTAATTCTCGAAACTGTTTGTTAACCTCTGCCATCCGAAGTGTATTGGGATGGAAAACGACATCGTAAATCACGCAACGTTTCTTATTTTGATCATAATCTTCCCGGGGTGGCAATAATGAATATGGGATTTGCCAGTTCATACCCCTTTTTCCGTTAACTTCTTGAATGTTGTGCGAAGGTTTGCCGATGTTATCATTACTGCAAATATTAATAAAAGCTTTTCTGTCGCCGGCCACACTTGTTTTGATAACATAACCTCCCTTTGGATTTATGAATGTTACATCGTATCCACGTTCCTTCTCGAATTGTGTCATTTCTTTCTGATATAGAGCTTGGTTCGCCGGGTCACGTACTTCTTCACAGTACTCGGTGAGTAGCTCTCGAAATTTCTTATTTTTCAATGCGTCTTGTATAGCTTCTAGATCCGATCTAGAAAATTGTATGTCTTCATCACGAGGTTTTACTCCTGTTGCCATTGTGATTACGCTGTAACTTGCTTGGTATATAAATAAACACCAATATTTCTACGCACCCACAATAAATTTTCCAGCTGACGTCCGTCCGATCGTGATACAAAAATGTTGCAAGTTAAAAAATCAAGGTACATATTAAATCTTTAATACACTGTCACCCGTATCTTTAGTCGTTTACACGAGCTTAACTCGACTCGACTCAACCTCCAACACGCGTTTTGGTATGATTAGTCGTAAAAATAAACTCCACTCAAACGTCCTTGGAAAAATTTCCTAACCAGAGTGAAGTAAGCGAACTGTCAAGTCAAGGTACGTCGCGACGTACCTTGAACGTTCCTCAATGCTGGTTTTCTATTAATGTCCAAATAGTATGTGGACCGCAAATGGAAATATATGATATTGTTGTGCAATGGCCTGGATCTGTGCATGATTCCCGCATATTTAGATAATTTAAGTTTGATAATATTTATTAATAAAGTAAATAATTCGAGGTTAGACATTTGAAACTCTTTATTTTATTTACCTACATAAGAGATATATTTTGCTTACTACCTGATAAATAAAGTCAATGCGATTATAAGTTTTATTTATATAATAATAAACTGGTGGTTGTGGAAAAGCACTTCAACAACACGATGCAACCAAAATCACACAAAAGCGGCGAATAAAAATACAAAGCCGGATCCGAAATCTAAAATAATAATAGGTTAGAAAATAAAAAAATGTGTGCGTGTACTAGTGTACACACGTAAGAAGTGAAACTTGTTTATGGCCTTATTTTTCGAAAAATGATCTACATGCAACTTTCTAGAAATTGGTTAAATAAAGTTAAATTAGATAAAGTTTAAACAAAAGGATTTTATTATCATAGACATGAATACAAAAAAGTTAAATTAGATAAAGTTTAAACAAAAGGATTTTATTATCATAGACATGAATACAAAACAGATGGCGCGTAACGGAAATAAAAAAAAAATGTGTGCGTGTACTAGTGTACACACGTAAGAAGTGAAACTTGTTTATGGCCTTATTTTTCGAAAAATGATCTACATGCAACTTTCTAGAAATTGGTTAAATAAAGTTAAATTAGATAAAGTTTAAACAAAAGGATTTTATTATCATAGACATGAATACAAAAAAGTTAAATTAGATAAAGTTTAAACAAAAGGATTTTATTATCATAGACATGAATACAAAACAGATGGCGCGTAACGGAAAAAAATGACGCGTAACCGAAAAATGTGACGGTAAATTTTTTTCCAACGCCGATAAGGAAGTTTCACTTCAATAATACGCTTTCAGATTTACCGCACGCACACATATTTACGAATAACTCAGCAACCAAAACATCAAACAAGTTCATCTAGTGTCAAACAGACAGCGGCAGCTTGACTTTGACATTAAACAATGACCATAGACTACAGAATTCTATGGGTTTGATGCTAGCTTGATCAAATTTTCATCATTATTACCTCACTCGAGGACAGTTGAGGAATATTGTAATGGTCGACTAAAAATACCAAACTCGAGTAAGTTTGGAGGGAATTCTCGAGCATCATCGGATGAGTTAAGAGTGGAGGACTATTTTACGAAACGTCTAAAGATACGGGCATGTATCACGACGCGGACGCGATTGACGATTTTAGATTTTCGGTCTACTTTTATCTCGACAACCATCAAGATTTAACTTTTGAATGTGAGATTTCCAGTCGAAAATTTTAAAATGCTGTTGATTATATTGTTCCATTGATTTGAAGAAGTTAAAAACATTTTGTCAGACATTGTAGCTGAAAATAAATCGAAGCCGAATCTAAGACCCCAACAAAAACTAAAACACTACCTAATAATTCGTAAAGAATCTATATTTATTATGTACATAACGCAGAACCGTCTATTTATCCTCAGATCAGGTTTTATACCATTGTTGACTCCTGTCCTGGGGCTTATAAATAAATTAGTTTTCTCTTTTGTGTGTGTCATTTATGTGTTATTGTATTATACTCTAGTGTGTAACATGGAAAATAATAATAATAAAGAGCATTGAAATAGCATCAATATACAATATCTAACTCTGATTACATCGATAAGCTATATTAATAGTAAGTTAGTATCTTTAAAAAAAATTTTAAACATGAGTCTAATTTGAAAACAAAAACTGATGTTCTAAAGCTTAATAAATTTAATCTAATTTAGCTCAAAAATATAATATTCCTGAATAAATCGTAAATAACAAATGTTTTTTCTAATAAATCAAAAATGAACTATATAAAAGCAAAAACAACGTTAGAGATATTTAATTACCTATGTATTATAATCAAATCTACGGTACTTTTAAATATTCTATTTGTCTATTCTATTTGGAAAAATATTGAAAATACTTAAAATTTTAAATCTACTAATCGTGAAATGTTCGATGGAAACAATAAAAATACATAAAATATCGAAAGTTAGACTGAATTATCGATATTTTCCGACCATACTACAAGATAAGTTATGAACTACTGATAATTTTACACTTAATATTAATTAATAATACACTTAATAATTAATTTAAGACACGCATATGCTTAATATTTAGGACACACTTATTACTTATGGTAGGAACGCCAGGAGTGAAGTTAGGTGATTTGTTTTATTTCGTGTATTAATGTTTCTTCAGGCTTAAATGCGTAATAACGGTTGTTTATTAACTGTTTAGTATCTGTGAAAATGCACAAATGTGAGAAAATGAAACAAAGCCGCTGAACGTAACTTCTCGGGATCCTCCAAAAAATCCACTGAAAAAGTTTCAGTAAATGACCACCATTTTACTGAGATTCATCCCATAACATGTCATATCATTTCATTTAAATTAAGTGTATAATCTATGATGTAGATTATAGGTTATGTTTTTTTAATGCATAAGACTGACTTTTCACTGAAACTTATTGAAAATACTGAGATTAGAGGTCTGAAAGAAGAAGGAAAAAATAACGTGTAGTAAGAGATGTCTCAGAAAAAGTTATTTCAAAGTTTTTCTCAAATCATTATACGATCATCTACTGCTATGTGCAACAGATCGTACGCTAGATGGGTTCACAGAAAACCGGCCAAAGTGTTACTTCCTTACGAAAATACAAAAGTAGATTTAAAGAAGGAGAAGATCATTGATTTGGATCCAAGTACAATGAAAAATAATCAAACTGAAGGATTCCCGAAGTCTTCCGTTATAAATTCAGAACTGAAAGAACCCTCGCCTAAATTTTCAAAAGAAAAATGTAAAGAAATAACAGAGCAAAGACAAGATAAAATCAAAAGACGCGAATTCTATTTGAACCAGCAGAAAGTTTTTAACGAAAATAATGAAATAATGTATGAAAAGTTGAAGGGAAATGATGGTCGCGTTAGGTAGGCATTCAATTTAAATTTTTTTGTATGAAACATACTTTTTAATTAATTAATTATTGTTGTAATTCCTTCGGGTTTCGCGAGTCGTAGACATAATTCAAACTAATTTTGCAACTTTTGGAATACTTTTCGTTTTTGTGGTCATGGATGATATGGCCTGTAGCTGTAATTTTTATTTATTCGTTTGATGTGTGATCAAGCTCACGGCTCACCAGTTAAGCTGTTACCGTAGTAACATCAAAATGTAAATTTTGCTACCCACTGAGATGCGAGGTAAAATACTTAATTGTACAATGCCTGTAGTGACCTTCCAACTGGAATACCTTATTGCTTGGCAGGATAATGGTAACTACCCCTGCAGACTTACAAATTATTAATCAGCTTACGATGTTATTCTTAGTTTTGGAAGTTGTTCCAAAAATATATTGGTACCAGACTGCAGAATTTGAATTAGAGCATAGCTGTATTTCTTGGAAAGACTATCTAACAGATCATTATTTAGTTATGTTTACTGTCCGATTTGAATATTAATTTTGTCATTATTTGAATCATTATAATCAATTGATATTACATTATGCTAAATCCTTGAAACCCAAAATTTTCAGCACACTTTTAGTAAAATCAAAGTCTAAAAAAGATAGAGCTCGCTCTGGATTGTCATTGGTTGAAGGCTGGAGATTGATTGCTGATGGTCTTCAAGCTGATTGTAAACTTAAATACATCATATTCAGCCGGCTTGATGATTTATATAAGATACGGCCCTTCTTACCAACTGGTGGAGTGAAAATTTATAAAATACCATATAAAGATATAGAAATGTGGTCAGATGTTGAAACTTCACCTGGAATTTTTGGTATGTATTTGGTAATTATTGGTATGGCTCCTACTTAATAGTTTATGAATATTAATATTTTAAGTTCTCTTCGAGTGAGAATATCTTATTAATTAAAAATTTGATGTATTCCTTCACTGTGAAACTCAATTGTGAACATTTGTTAAGTATGTATTTCATTAGAAAAACCAGTACCCGCCAGCGGGATTCAAACACCGATGCATCGCTAGATATGATTGCACTCTACATCTTATCCTATAGACCTCTACTTCAAGTCTCAAGCATTCACTACAATATTTAAACAGTTAACTAGAGTTAGTCATTATTTGTGGATACATATTTATTATCCATTCAAATCTCTATTAAGTCATTGCAATCATAGAAAATGTGGTACATTATTTTTGTCTTTTTCTTTCTGAATCGGCAAGTCCAATCATCACCAATGTTCGATTTTATAAAGGTGTCGACTTTAGTTGTCTGTTTCATTTAGACACTTTGATGACCAAATAATTAATTTTTTGGAATAATAGTTCAGTGCTTTGTATATAATTGTCTCAGCAATGTTCTTATTAAATTAAGAGGTTCAGGGCCTATTGCTTGTGCCTGAGCCTCTCTTGATGATAGTTGCCAATTATCTAATTTGCTAGTAATTGTCATGGTAAAATTATAAGAATAAATGCTAGCTTCTGTTCCTCAACTACTCTCAATACTTTCAATAACCATCAAGGTACTCGTACAAGATATACACTATATTCTTTCTATGTAAAAAAAATCCTGCTACTTGTTGGTAACATACATTTAATAATTTGGTAAAAAAATTATGTATTATTTACAGGGCTTGATTTTGTCACTTTGTGACTGTTTTCAAGATATTCTACAGATTATAATTTTCTCCAATTTAGTGTTTGTCTAGTTTTAGGCATGTTAGTGTTCCTGTGTGAATACATAGGTACTTTACAAACGACTTTTGTACATAATAAATTAATGAATTATTAATTTATTATTGCCAAGTGTTCAATAAAACTTACAATGTTTTCAGGTATATTTGAAACACCAACACCTGGGAATATTAAAAAAAAATCTAATACAATACCATTGAATTTTATCTGTGATAATATTCGTGTTCCTGGTAATTTAGGTGCTATATTGCGTGCTGCTATGGGTGTTGGGTGTGAAAAAGTACTACTGACTAAAGGTATGATTGGACTACAGAGTTTTATTGACATTTAAAAACAATTAATTTTTTGTTAAATTATGTTGATTGTAACTTAATTTAAAATAAACTAAATACTTAATAGTCATTTGGCACTGTTTGTATAACTATATGAAAGCTTTCAGACAGAAACAGCTCAATGTACCATGAAAGTAAATTATTTCGGATATTGCGCTCAGGATTTGTATGCAACACAATTTTTGTAAGGTTTCTGTAGATGTAGACATTAAAAACAATTTTATCAGATACATCTTAGATTTTGTGGAAGAAGTCCGAACAATGGTTACAGTGGTGTCTGAACTCTTATGTATCTTTAGCTGTATTACAGAGCGGTACATTTTTAGAAATTGCAGAATTGAATACTTACCTTAAAAACTCACTGTGTACAAAAATACAAATATAAAATTGTTTTCATCTCCAGAATTGACCCTGGAGACCCTCTCGCAAAATTAAAATTGAATATATATTGTTGGCTATTGCATTGATTACAGGTTGTGTAGACTTATGGGATCCAAAAGTTATAAGGAGCGCTGCAGGTGCACATTTTAGAGTACCCATCTATCCATCAATAGAATGGAATGAAATGCCTGAACATACAAGACCAGAATCAGCGATTTTCATAGCTGACAGTAATCCAAAGAATACAGTTGAAGATAGCCATGATTCTCTGGCTTCAACTATACCTGTTTTGCCATACTATGGTGTTGATTATTCTACTTTTAGCCATAGCACATTAATTATAGGAGGTGAAACGGAAGGTATTAGTGAGGATAGTTATGAGTAAGTTTATTAAATATACATGATTATATTATTAATTTTCGCGAGTCTATGTCATTTAAGTTATTGTTATGACTATTTTAGCATTTACTACTAATTACCATCAGTAACAACGAGAACTAAGGACACTTCATTGATTGTATTGGACCACCTACTAGATCTTAACAACGCCACATAAAACAATAAAGGCCGCCATCAGATTTTATATTACCTATTAATTAACTTGATTAAGAAAAGTAACAGTTTTCAGTACAATCCTAAAATAAGGCTTTTTAATTGGTCCAGGTTTTTGGGGTTTTTTTTTTAAAAGACCAATTGGAAACATTTTTGTAAAGTAGATTATTCGGTGGTGCAGCAGTTATCGCCCCTGACTGTTGTGCCGAGGGTCGTGGGTTCGATTCCCATATTGGGCAAACATTCTTGTGATAAGCAGATGTGTTTGCTCTTTGTCTAGGTGTTTATCTATACTATAATATTATAAAGCTGAACAGTTTGTTTGAACGCGGTAACCTCAGGAACTACTGGTCCGATTTGAAAAATTCTTTTAGTGTCAAATAGCTCATTTATTGAGGAAGGCTATACGTTATATAACATCGTACTAAGACAAAAGCAAGCGGAGCACCAATAAATAATGTTTAAAAATCGGGGTATTTCTCCCTTTTGAGAGGTTCCGCTGCGTGCGTTGCGGAAACGGTTAAAGTTACGCTAAAATAATGTATAACAAAATTGTTCCACTTAAAGGTTTAAAAAAAAAAGTCCGCGACAGAATATGTCTATAATTAAAGGTGAGCTGGGCTCACTATAACGTTTTTTTTGCTAACCAAATTTGTTCTAAAATAAAGCATTATTTGTGAAGGTGTTTTTATAAAGATTATATTAATCCCAATCCAAACAAATACGTTATTCATTACAACATTGAAACACCCAAATCACTTCAAGATAGGCTTTGACAATTATAGATTTTGCTGGATTTCTCCAGGAACCCATCATCAGATCTTATTATAGGACCATTCGGGAAGTTTACCCTTTCGAACAAAAAAAAGAATAAAATCGTATGAACATACATAGATAAAAAATGATGGTCGAATTGATAACTTCCTCTTTTAAAGTCGGTTAGAAAGGGTGATTTTGGTACCTTAAATAGCTCCATAACATTCTCTATTATTCAAAAATATTTTCACTTTCTACGTAAATGAAGAGGCGGGTAAAATTTAGCGTTATGCCACGCGGACAAAGTCGCGGGCAAAAGCTAGTTATCTATATATGAGTCGACTATTATCAAAGCCGGCAATGTGACTTTTGGACAATTATTGGTAAATCAGAAAAACGAATTATTGACTTTGTATTCCATTGGCAGTCACAAAACTCTTCGGAACGACATCTTAGATAAATAACAGGTTAACTATTAACCTTTATTTAATGCAGGTTTTGAACCGTATTCTTTGAAGGAGACGATTGTATTCAAATCAATCTGTATTGACATATCAATAACATTTTTTTGTCCAAATGCACAGATTGCCACCTTTGTTATTAGACGACTCATATGTATGTATGTATATATATAAGTATTTATATCAGTCTCTGGTACTCACAAGGAATCCCAATTTGGGATCGGATGACCTTGGATGATTTGTTCCCAGTTATTTGTTTTTATTAAGTTGGTGATATCAATAGTGTTCAAAAATAAAATAAATAAGGAGGAAAATGGCTCCGTAAACTGTAGAAAGTGGATCTTTTTTCTTTGCCACTTTATATATATTATTATGTACTTACATTTTTAGAGAAATCAAAGCATATAGTCAATACATAAATGTTCTATTAAAACAATTTCAGGTTTGCTTCTAGTCGAAATGGACTGAGACTGAATATTCCCCTTATAGAAGGCGTAGACAGTCTGAACACTGGTATGGCGACAGCTGTAATTGCATGCGAAATAAAAAAACAATTCGTTCAAGCGTGGAGCAAAATGAAAAAAGAAAAGGTTGAAGCAGAACTTAACACATAAATTTGTAATTATCATATTAGAGAGTAGTGTTCAAATGTAGATAAAATAAAAATTGACAAAAAACTTTATTTTTTTTTATTGGGAATATCTTTGGTCAATTGTTTGTTTGGTCAAATATTATTAAAAATAAGTATTTGAATTTTGTGTTCTGAATGTTCTTGGATTTTTATTGAATTAAGATTGGATGAATTGAAATCCGTACACGCAAGAGGATATTCATAATCGAATCGATTTGAAAATCCTAACGGTTAGCTTACTAATAATTAAAACGTTAAATCGTGGATAATTTTAATGCCAAATTTTCTTAAACGCGTAATTGCGTTAATGTTGCGTGTACTTTAAATAAAACGGACCGTAAAATATTTGACCATGTTGCATGATTTATTTGATACTAATGTGAACGAATAACTACCTATAATTAAAAAACTAAAGCCATCTATTGGGGACGTTAAACTAATGCACCAACCAGGGTGCTAGTACGAGTTTTTTAACGTTCTCTTTAACGTAAAAGTTAGCTCAAATATGTATATAGGTGGAAGAGCGCCAATGTCCAACGGACGGGAATCGTACTTTTTTTCCCCCCACCTATTCGCTGGTAGCCTTAGAGGTTATTTCAGCTACGCCCGGAAAGGTGAGCTCACGGGTTCAACCTGAGAAAATTTGTTAACACTAGCCCCCTAGCAAGAGCAGCGCTTCGCAGAAACTACCGCCGGATCTTTATATTAAAGGCTTATTACATTTGGCTGAATTTAGTCGACTGAAATCAGAAGCAAATTTAGAAGCTTCTGATTACACTGTTCTGAATTCAGTTACTGAATCAATTCTCAGTTTAAACGCGACGAAGTAAGACGTGTCGTGTGCGTAAGAGGATGGCCCCAGTATTGTCTAGACAACAACAAAAATTTTGTTTTTTTTTTGTTTGAATTTCTCAAAAAAAAAAAAAACTATAATATCGGTGAAGAAATATTTATTTCTGTGCGGAATGTTAGCAAATATGAACATTATGAGTGATTTAGAACCAGCAGACTTCAAAAATTATCTATAAATAGATTCGATCTCGTTTGACTTAATATTAAGCCTTGTGACACCGTTTATTCAAAAGCAGGATACTATCCTACGATAGTCTATTATATAATTATTACATATCTAATCCTACGATAGTATAAGTCCAAAAGAAAGATTGGTTGTAACATTAAGATTTCTTGCAACAGGAGATTCGTATCAAGATTTAAAATTTAGTTCTTCAATATCTCAACCCCTGATGACAAAAAATATTCCTGAAACATGTCGGGCTATTTATAAATGTTTGGCACATTAAATAAAGGCGACCTAAATTAATACTTTTTATTCGGAAGCAAAAAACAAACTAAAACGTCCTTACGCACGGAGAGCTATGGGACGACTGAAATCATTAAGTAACTAAATGCGATTACACCTTCCTAAATGCGTTTCTAATTAGGCTTCTAAATGATTTAGTCAGTCAGAAACTATCCTTGCTACTGAATTCAGTAGACTAACTTACTTAATGCTATTACACTTGACTGAATTCAGTCGTCTGAATTGAGCCAAGTGTAATAAGCCTATTACCGAGTAGGATGGACTAAAGTCTAAAGACCAAAAAATTCTTATTAGCCGACATAAAATTAAACAAACAGTAATTATAAATATAGCAGATATATTTCCAGACCCTACATCGAATAATAATACATAATACAACATTACTTAAACATTTCGTAACTTTTACAATAAAATTGAATTAGCATGTGTAACACACATTACAAAAACATTGGCGAGATTATTTGTTGATAGGCGAGCTGGCCTGTAATATGATGGTAAGTAAGTGGTCAAGTAAATGCCCAACGTAGATAGTATTGGTATAAAAGTAACTAAAAGTTTTAATATCAATTAAAACAAAGTAAAAAAATAAAAACATACGTAACTAGTAGTACGATTATTTGTAGTAGTTTAGAATTTAGCATCTTTATTAATAGTAGTCGTGACAATATTGGTGGGCTCGGAAATACTTTATATGAATCTTTTAGTCTTAGAGCTGTGAATTCTTGAAATAATATTTTTATTTATTTCATTTGTTTTGAATTGATAGTTTGTTTGTTCTTGTTTATAAACTACATGCTTGATAGTCTGCTTATATCTTAAGCTCGCGTTTAAATGAATAAACATGTTTAAGACATAAGTTAATTTCAAATAGAACAGCTCAGGGCAATAGTAAGGAAGTCTTCAAAGGCTATGGTAACCGTTCCATTTTGTTCGGTATCGCGTACTCGAAATGCTTCAGTGAAACGTTGTATCTGAACGCACATCACAATAAACTGGTCCACGGAAATTTTTCCATCATTTGTGTTACTCCGTTTCGTTAAAATATTTATAAACTCTGGTGAGAACCGGAATCCCATTTGTGTCAGAGCTGAAACGAGATAGAAGGTAAGGTTACATATTTTTTCTAAATTGTTGGTTATCAAAGAACTTCGCGTTATAAAAAATACTAGTAATTTAGACACCTTTAGAAAGTTCGCCTTCATCTATGAAACCAGATTGATCCGTATCGTAGGTTTTGAATACAGCTAACCATTGATTCACGTAAGTATAAAGCTTATCAAATTCATCGAGATTAATCTGCCCGTTGCGGTCTTTGTCGAACATACCTGTAGGTATAAAAGCAGTGTGAAAAAAGTTACTGACTAAATCCATTTGACAGAGAAAACGGGAGAGCCGCAGAAGTCTTACCAATCATCAGATTGCAAGCAGTTTCGGAAAAAGTTTGACCTTGAGCGTTCACCAACGCCGATCTTAGTTCTGTCGAAGTAATGAATCCAGATTGATCTTTATCTACAGCTCGGAACCACTGCTGTACTTGGGGCGTAATAGTACCCCCAACTCCAATGGAAGGGTACGGTCCATGTCCAATTTCTAATTGGCCTGGTGGCATTCCACCGTAAGCTGCCTGTCCTGGATATCCGGACTGAAATGAGTAAAATTTTTGTACACATTACAAATCAAGTTGTGAATTTAAAAGTAAATTCTTTTAGGCTACCAAAGCGTACTAGAAAACGGTCAACGCCAAATCTTCGTATTGTTAGAGTTCCACCAGTAATATCGTGACAATTTTTCTAGTTAGTCTAAAATCAAGAACTAGGTAACTGCTGTCACTCGATTACCATCATCAACAGCTGAAAGCCGTCTATCGCTGGATGTAGGCTTTTCCAAATACGTGCAGACGAGCTCGATTTTCGGCCCTTCACATAATATCGACCATAATTTCTCATACATAAAGCACACCTCTGCAAGGTTCCTTTATTTGTCCCACCTTATAATTTCAAAAGTGAACTCTTTCGGTCGAAGTTACGTCAATAACAGATTTTATAGCATTATATTGGATGATGTTTAAGTTTGAATAAGTTTAAGTAAAACGTTTTTATTGCGTTAATATATTTATTTTATACGGTATAAATAATTACTGTTATATGTACATAGTACCTAAGTATAAACAATACAAAACCTTGAAAATTCAGGGCGATTAATTCTTACAATAATCATCACTCCATCACATCACAAAGACCACTAATCATAAGCTCAGGCTTTCGTTTCAGTTGTAAGTAGTAAAGCTATTACAATTTTATGTTCATTCAGGAGCATTGGAAGGAGTTTAAAAATGTTCTGGATCTATTATACTAATTTTTGATTTGATGGGGAAGCTTAAAATTATTTGCATGAAATGACAAAATATTAATTAACAAAAACAAATCAACATCTTTTTTTTTCCAATTTTAACAATTTTCGTAACATTAATACATGATAAATATTAATCAGCTTCCAGGAGTATGCATGTTACTTAATAAATTTTCAAATAGAATCTTCAAAAAATTTAAAAGACAAAAAATGTTACAATGTTACTTATCCAGAAAATTAACTACTAAACAAACTTATAACAATAAAAAAATAAGTAGCAGTTTGTAGTACAGGTACATAGTACATAATACACTAATTAGCTGCCAATCATTTATATAATAATATGTACAAATAAAAGTATAATACTTTGAGTTTTGCATTTACTGTGCATTTGTCTACTTTGAATTAATTTATATATTACTGTTTTTGTTTAATTAACAAAGCTAAGTAAGGTGGTATTATTTGTGTAGGATTGATTGTGATACAGATAGTTACCTGTGTATATGTCAGCTGTATCATTAACATATTTTTAATATTTATATGTAAATATTATAAATATAATATTTATATGTAAACATTATATTTACATATAAATTTGTAATTAAGTTATAATAATAAGAATGTAGCATATTATTTGATACCAAAAGAGCTTTCGAGCATGGGTTTACATTTATTTTGAAAACTGTAATTTTTTATTTATATGCTATTTAATGAAACAATCAAAATACACTAATATTTTTAACCAAAGCACATTAATATTACACATATAATATTTACAGTAGTAAACACCAAGCACAACAAAGATGATTTATGATTTTATATATTTTTGTATTGAGATAGCTTGTTGTGACATCAGTATTCAATATTATTTTAAGTTGCCAACTTCATGGGCTTTCATTTTGTATACTTATCACCTATCAACTTTTCGTACTTAATATTAATAATATGACAGTAAATAGAAGTTTTAAAAAATGGAATACATTGACAACAAATGTTGATTTCTCAAATCGAAATCACAGACTTAAAGTCACATTTTCTCATTTAATAAACCTAAATAGTCAATGTAATATTTTTGTAAGAAATTAGAGTGAAATAATGTTTATAATTATTGCCATATTATTCTACTTTCCTTTAAATGTCACATGACTTACTGAAATAAAATAACTTTTATTCAGTCTACACAGTAAGGCAAGCTGGTTATTGGTTCTTAATGTAGTCTAATTAATACTCACTAGTGAAAACAGTTTTTTTTTGTCGGATTATAAATTTTGCATTTGCTTTTATTATAAAATTTAATCGTTACATATTGTTCCAACATAATCAATATAGGTATCCTTCTATTAAAATAAATCTTTCAGTTTCAATGGCATTGCAAATATTGGAGTTGGTTTACTTTAGCTTTACTTTTGTTCATGCAGAAGACCTAGAAAAAGTGCCATTTACTAGCATGATATTTTAGACTTCTCTCAATCTTTATTTTTGTCTACTTTAGCATTAACACTAATAAATTGTACTTTGGCTAGGCCCCCTGAACAACTATACAAAGTTTTTGGGATTGTTCATTTGTGAACAGAAATACATCAGGTTTTTATGAATTAATAAAAAACATAATTATATAATTACTACTAAAAAAATTATTAACACAAACAATGCTCATTCATCATTTTTAAATAATATAATAGTTTCTATAGTATGCACTTAAGAATTAAATGACCTTCAGTCTTATTTATGAAAACCAATACTGGCAAGTTTGTTTTGTACTAAGCAATCAAATTCTCAAACATTACGCATGCCTGTTGTCAGTGCATTTTCACTAATTATTGGTTTAAATTATCTAAATACAATTTTTATTTTACCATTACTATTATACAAAATATCAATTATCTTGAGTAGATTCAATTTGCCTTTTAAAATTACACCCAGTTTTTTGTGCGTTTAAAAAGAGTTTTTTTTGACCCCATAGTTAATTAGTGAAAGTGCATTGATTGTTCATCACTATCTGCCATGCTGTCTATAAATACTTACTTATCTAAACATTACTACTCTGACTAGAAAAACTATAAGTAGCTGGCGTTACAGACGTGTTAACGCATACTTGAATTGATGGTTTAAAGGAAGATGGAAGAAGTTTATGAGCCTCAGGCACAGGAGAATAGCTCCGGTTGGTGGCAGGAGGCTCAAAGTGTACTTGTTCAATCCTTTCCATAGGAACACCATCAANCTATAAATACTTACTTATCTAAACATTACTACTCTGACTAGAAAAACTATAAGTAGCTGGCGTTACAGACGTGTTAACGCATACTTGAATTGATGGTTTAAAGGAAGATGGAAGAAGTTTATGAGCCTCAGGCACAGGAGAATAGCTCCGGTTGGTGGCAGGAGGCTCAAAGTGTACTTGTTCAATCCTTTCCATAGGAACACCATCAAAGCTCGTTTGTTTAGCAGAATCACCAGTCCCACTATCCTTACATGATGAATGTTCTGAAACATTGTCTGAAAACATTTGTGGAGAATCACTGTCACTGTGCACTATATGTGTTCTTTTCAAACTTTCTGTAGGAATACGCACTGCAGTTGCCATACGCCTACGGGTATGATATATAATTACTACCCATATTATTGAAGTTCCAACAGCACAACACACTACAGTTATAATTATGATGCCAGTCATATCTTCCTCATTAACCATAATTGCTACAGGTGGCAATACTTGTAGCTGAGTCATATGTTTCTTAGTTCCCAGTTCATTTGTGATCTCACAATCATATTTACCAGCATCGTCAGATTGTACTCCTGTTATGATCAATAGTTGGTCATCATTAACTAAGAAATGTCTTTCGCCAGGGACAACTGGAGTATCATCTTTTAGCCATTTCAAAACTGGCTTAGGTGATCCCGAAATCATACATTGTAAAACAACTGAGTCTCCACTGATGACTTCTTTGTTTTCCATTACCTTAGCAAATGAAGGTTCTTGTAATACTGTCAATGTAGCATTAGCCACAATAGTGCCGGCAGGATTTTTTGCAGCGCAACTGTAAACACCAATATCTGTTGTCTTTACATTAACAATAAAAAATAAATGATCATCCGGCATAACATTCATTCTTCTTTCTCTAGCTGCAGGGAAGTCATTCCCCCCATCTTTTTTCCATGATATCTCTGGAGTAGGGTCTCCAGTAGCTGCACAGTTCAGTGTGACAGTTTCACCAGTTTTAACAGTCACATTTGTTGGTGTTTTTATAAACCTAGGGAATGTGACAATATTCATTTTTGCTTTTGAAGAATATGTAGTTCCAAAATTATTTGTTACAACACATTGGTATTTACCAGAATCTCCTTGTGAGATGTTAGGTATAATTAGGGTAGATGTTGCACGAGGTTGACCACTCTGTGATAATGTCACATTTGCATATACAGTGGGATTGCTGACATTCCCATTATTTTTCCTCCACAGGAATGACATATTATTAAATGGATTTGCTGTTGCAGAACAAACTAGACTAGCAGAACGCCCTTTAATTGCAAGCTGTGTTTTAGGATGCTCTACAATTTTTGGTTTTGGCGAATCTCCACAGTTTTCCTCTTTCAGTTTTGTAATTGACACACCTCTGACTTCAGAGGGGTATGCACAAGTAGCAGTGATAAATTTTTGCTCAGCTTTTTCTTTTATCCATTTAACAATCCATAACAAATTACAGTCACAGAGTAGCGATGACGAGTTCATGTGTAGTTTTTTCAGGTTTGTCATAGAATTAAATGCATGCTGCTGAATAGATGTTATGTTATTTCCAGCCAAATTTAACTCCAATAGATTGGAAAGACCATCAAATGCCCTGGAGTTTATAGACTTTATATGATTACTTGCTAAGTTAAAGAAGTGTAAATTTTGTAATTTTGAGAAAGGCCCAGACATGTCTTCTACAGTCCAAGAAATTTTGTTGTTATTCAAATAAAGTGCTTTAAGATGAGCCATATAACTGAAGGACTCTTGTGAAATAGATGATATATTATTGTTACTAAGATTTAATGTTTCAAGGTTTATTAGGTGTTGAAAGGTACGCCCCTCTATTTCTATCAAATGATTGTGTGATAAATCAAGAACCTCTAAATTTGCACACAGTTCCCAGCTTCCTAGATCAATATTAGATATCAAGTTGTTGGACATAGATAATGTTGTCAAAGATTCAAGGCCATACATCCACCCTTTTGATATACCTCTGATTTTATTATGATCCAATTGCAATAGGTTCATTGATTTAAATCCGAAAAAGGCACCATCCATTATTTTATCTATGTTGTTAAATCTAAGTTTCAAAGTAGTCAAATTTGATAATCCTTGAAAAAGCAGTGCATTGATAACATGCAATTTATTGTGATTCAGTTCTAGAATTCTCAAATTTGTTTGATACTTGAATAAATGATTTGGGAGAGATTTAATCTCATTTCTGTTTAATTTCAATACTTCCAAGTTGGATAAATTATCAATAGCTCCTTCATGTATCGTCATTATGTGATTACTGTTGAGATTTAATATTTTCAAAGAGCTATTTTCCGGAAAATGATTCGTGTCTATTGATACAATGTTATTTCTATTGAGGTTTAGTTCTAGTATTTCGTCCAACTGGAGGTTCGGTATATTGTTCATATTATTCTTGTCGAGTTTTAATACTTTTAAATTCGATAGCGTATTCAATTCATTCGTGACATTATTTAGTTTATTATGACTGAGGTCCAATTGCTCCGCCCACTCAGGAATTTTTGGCACAGACACCAAATTCTTCTTTGAACAATCGACATATAAATGCAGACAGGCGCATTCTAATGGGCAAAAGTAAATTTCCCCCAGAGTCGATGAACTAAGGAACAAGCTCATTGTTATAAACAATAACAATCGAGAGTCTCCCATTTTCGTCGATGCTATCGTTGTTTAACGGTTCCTGCTTACATAATTCAAGCCGTAGGTAAACTAATTAGAGAATTCCACGCAAAGATCACTTCACTTATTTGTTGGACATAAAATATTTGCATTTTAGATTCATAAACGAAGTTACACTCAAAAAACAACGCATCGATTTTAACGTTACGACATGAAACTTAGCAGCCATTTTCTTTGCTGCCGCAGTTCTATATTCTTTGTGGTTTTGATCAGGGTTGCTAGTTTTAAAGGTTTTTAAATTAATTTATTGGAAAGCACTGAAAAATTAGACAATAGAAAATGAACACTTTGTAGGTAATTTTATATTGAGATTAAAAGAAACCGAATGTATTAGATTAAGTTTTTTTTTATTGCTTAGATGAGTGGACAAGCTCACAGCCCACCTGGTGTTAAGTGGTTACTGGTGCCCATAGACATCCTTGAGATATAAGTTCTAAGTTCTCAAGTATAATTACAACATAAGTGTATGCACGACACATCATTTCTTTTCTCTATCTGCGTATTAATTTTTTATGTCATGAGTTCATGACCGAACTTTGTGGCAAGGCTTAAAAGATGTCTATGTTCAGCAGTGGACGTCTGTGGGCTAATAGAATAGATGAAGAACGTGAATTGTTGTATTTTTTTTGTATTGTCGTTTAAATTGTTTTTGTTTCTAGTGGTTCTTCAGGTGTACGTTTAGCTTTGCTTCTAGCTAGCCATGGCTTTTCGGGTTCTCCCAAAAAGTCGATGATTTGACTGATCACGATGATGGGGATTTTACTGGAACCTTATTTCCTTTCATCTCATCCCATTTCACTTCATTTCATTCAATTTCATCCCAATTTTAGTTTCAGATAAATCACCTGGGTCAATCCACTCTATGTTTCATATAAAGTGTATCTTAGTACATTTAGCAAGTAGGTATATAACAATAATAATAATTATATTAATGATTAAAAAAATATTTATTAAATTTGATGCGGGCAACAAGGGCAAAACAAGCAGCCGAGCGATTCTTACACCGGCAAAGTGGTGGAGTTGGATCGTTTCTAATTTCATTAATATTCTAAACGTACACAATGATAAGTAAGTGTAGCACTAGTCCGCACGGGTAGGCACCGCCACCCTGCCTATTTCTGCCGTAAAGCAGTAATGCGTTTCGGTTTGAAGGGTGGGGCAGCCGTTGTAACTATACTGAGACCTTAGAACTTACATCTCAAGGTGGGTGGCGCATTTACATCGTAGATGTCTATGGGTTCCAGTAAGGGCTGTGAACTCATCTAAGCAATAAAAAAATATATTTCTAAACATTATAATATGCCTTTTGTGGATAATTACTTTTTTAAAATAAATTTCATTTTTTTTTACTACTGTTGTTTGATTTTTAATTGTACATAAGTATCTATATCTAATATATAAAATTCTCGTGTCACGGGGTGCGTGATTGAACTCCTCCGAAACGGCTCGACCGATTTTCGAAGTTTCTTAAATACTAAATTGAAGAAACTAATAAACTTGAAGAAACTCTGAGAGTTTATAATTTCAAGTCCGTTTAATTATGATTTTTTTTAAATTCAATTTGATCTCCCGCCCTCGCCGGTCGACTACTGGTCAACTTTCAATCGATCAGTTATCCCCGCCAGGTGTCACCACTCATCCAGCAAAAATCACGTAGTAGGGATGAGGACGAAGCCGGCCTCCTGTCTTACTTACTCACTATATATCATAGATTATGCACTTAATATATTTGAGAGCTATACAATACTATACATTTTTCAGCCGTGTTTTTTTTTGTTTTATTTGTGTATCAATAGTATGTTCAGTAGGTCTGAGAATCGGCTACTATCTATTTTTCATACCCCTATGTGATAAGGGTTGTCCACCCGAAACATTTATTTTTTATTTTAATTTTTTGGATTATTTTTTTTGGTTATAATGAGGTATTATGTGGTTAAATGAGGTATTTTTTTCTACAGTAGAATTTCCCTAGAAATCTTATTTAAGGCAACACAACGTTTGCCGGGTCAGCTAGTATTTTATAAAAACGTAGAGAGTTAATTACATTTATTTACAATTACATTTTGATTGCGTTGCGTACCAAATGTTTTTGTTTTCGGGAATGAACACTTTTTTATTATTTATTGCTTGAGATAGACGAGCATACGGCCCGCCTGATGGTGAGTGGTTACCGTCGCTCATGGACTTCAGCAATGCCAGGGGCAGAGCCAAGTCGCTGCCTACCAAAAGTTCCCGATACTTCGACCCTTGGGAAAGAATTTAATAGTTATGTACAGTTCAGTATTTTGTCATTCGTTTCATTTCGTTGGTCCCTACTTGTGTTCAATTATTGTATTTCTCGAGATGGGTGGTTCACTTTATGTATCGAGCGGTAGCTTGTGCATTTCCATGGTATTCTATAATCTTTATTATAAGACGATTCGTTTAATACGTGATTATATTCCAGCGTAAGTAATTACAGTCTTTCGCTTTTGGGCACACAGTCTCTCAGTGATTTCGTCATCTTTTGTTTCTATTGAGCTATTTACGAAAACAAAAACCCCTTTTATCACATTCATAATCTTTGCGCAAAAAATAGCAAGCGCAATAGCCGTTATGCGTTGCATTTTGATCATTTTTTTAATGTTTTTTTCAAAATTAGAACGGTTACAAGTTACGGTTTACTTGCTTTCGATTATACTGCATTTTTAAGGGACGCTATTAAATTATCCGGAGTTGTAAATTCGGTCTGTCGTTATATGGATAAAATTATAGTGGCTCGTTGCAGTAGCGACTTAGATAAATAAAAAATTACTAAAGAACAATCCCAATCCCAATGACACAATCCCATTTCTTGTTGTTAAACATTCAAAACCGACAAAGAAAAAAACTGAAAAAGGTTGAGTATTTAAGGAATCTGTACTGGTTTTTTTTTGGTCAGGAGGAAATCGCCGTTCTGCCACCCTCCATCCCCAGCGGGCGCATGGGCATGTCAGAGTCGAACTGACTAAAACCTCCTGTCGCTCAACAAACAACTTCCAAACCTCGCATGAGACAGAACTTATGAAAAGGCAAAGGGGGGAAGAGAAGCGTTTACACTCTCCCCCCGGGACTAATTTAATAATTAAATAATTATTTTCTAATCTAAAATTTAATAATTATTTTCTGTTGTCATATGAGAATTCAAATCATAATCGTTGTAAGGAGTGGTTGTTTTTTGGTAGAAGGTTTGTTACAAAACAAACAAAACTCAAAGAACAACAAAAAACCCCAAAAAAGAAATGGATAATTTTTATTTTCATTGAAAGTACGATATTTCCCTTCTCTTATATAGAATTTATGCTATCATACAAAAAAAAAAAGCGCAACGGCGGCTCATAGAAAAATGGGCAATCTCCTTTTATACCTACATATTTATTAAGGTCTCAGCAATAAACAAAAAAATATTCTATACTAAATAGCCACCTTTGACCTTTCTACAGGCCTGTTTGACCACGAATACACGAATGTACACACTGTTTCCAAGGGAAATTTCGCCACTGTTTGCTCCAATGATTTTTTAAGCGAATCGTTTAGAGCAGGCCATGGCCCCTAAAACTGACCATAATCTGAAGTTTGAGGTCTGAGGTCTGTGCTAGACGAAGGCTAGTCTTCAGCTCTTATAAAACGGGAATATTGGTTTCTAGGCAGGTTTGGGTAGTTCGTGCCTTGTGACTATGTGCAGAGCCCTGCTGGAAAGTCCACGGTATATTTTTAAAAAGTGTATTGCTGAGAGGTTTCGCAACATGATCCAAGACGGTATCTTGATACACTTTGGCTGAAGTTTTCACTTCTTTTTCACAAAAAATTAGTTTTGTGAATCCTTGATAAGACACGCCCCACCAAATCATCATTGACGCAGGATGTTGACCACTTTGTACCTTTCCGACCAAGCAGCTTCTTTAGAACTGTGAGCACGTTATCATTTTGCTTATTGTAGTGTTCTTCAATCGTGAAATTTTTTTCATCAGTAAAGAGGATACTTCTTTGCCTTTCGCCTGCGTATCGCGATAGAAGGCGTTTTGATCGATCCACTCTCTTTAATTGTAAAGAATTATTTAAGGCATATCCGACGATAAGCACCGAGCTTCAGGTCTTGTTTTGTAACACGCGACAGAGTCCTAGCGGGAATCTTCATTTCTCGCGATAAGATTTTTTGCTTCCTAATGGGGTTTCGACCAATTCTGGCTTTAACAGCATTAACAACCTTTGTAGTTCTAGCATCACGCGGCTGCCCCTATCATTTCTGGTCTTCGGCAGAGGAAGTGTTGTTGTATCTGTTGATAGTACGATATACGAACATACGGCTGATACCAAGCTTTTGAAGTGTCTGGAATATGACCGATGGCTCCATACCCACTTTGTTCAAGGCACAACACTCCATTCCATATGGTAATTTGATAATGAACACGAAAAATTTGTGATATGCTACGAATAAATTATAAGTCTATTTATTCGTAGGTGATATGGCGTAAAATCGAAAGAAGTTTTTAAAATAATATGCGTGTTCCATACATACTCAAAATAATTAAAAAGTAAAAAAAAATATGTAACAGTATTTATGGCCAGGCCAGTTATTAATATATTACATTATGCACTAGACTAACGAATAAAATCCATTCAGGCTGAACCCCGTGAGCTTGAATAGTCCGTAGAACCTACTGGCAGATAGCTAGGCAAGAATAAAGGTAATTATAATTTACAGTTTAGCTGCGTACGGCGTCCATGGGTTGATTGACTGATAAACGTTTTTTAAGACTGTGAATTGGGCGTACTAACTTCCTTCCTATTTTCGGTAGTTGGAGGTTTGCGAGTGATAGGTCTGTTTGGCATGTTCCATATTTAAAGGTTAATTGATGGTAAGACAGACTAATAGGTGAAAATCGTGGTATTTAACCTAATTTATGAAACTGCGGAAAATCTACTTAAATGAAAGATTTATCCCAAATTAATACTAAACATTCATCATAAATTAATATGTTCAGCGGTAATTAAGAAGTAGGCTATTTTCTATTAGACAGATATGGACAGATTTTTAAGGAAATTTTAATAGTTTCAGAAAGCGTACTTACATTGTAGGCCATTTGTAGTGTCTCGCTAAATCTGTAAAAGTTTCAGTTGTTCATTATTATAATTTTGGCTGTTTTAAATTATATTTATAAAGGTACTTTATGCTTCTAACTATTGTTTTACTAAATAAAAAAATACCCTAATAATTTGAACCTGCTTAAACTTGTAATCAATGTAAGTTGAGATAGGCAATGAATAAAAACAAATAGCTATCAGTCGTCCAACCAGATCATTTCACGACACGTTCTTACGGATCCATCAGATCCAATAACCTTTGCATTAGACGCCTTCAGCTCTAATACTAGGAGCAGGCTTAGGGACCGCGGTAATCGTACTCGTCGAACTCGACAAACAGTTCGACGTGCAACCTGATCGCCGGATCTTCTCAGCGGGTCGCGATTCCGATCCGGTAGTAGATTCATTCGCGAAGCAGCTACTCTTGAGCTGTTAGGTCTCCTTCGGAGGCGCTCTGGTAGCTGTTAGCAAATCCCACCCCTCTTGGCTGAGCCTTTGCTCGCCCACCTGTCCTGGTTAACAATTACAAATAAAAGCCGTAAACGTAAGATACGTTTAGGTGAACATACATACACACATACACTCTCATTTACGTCGTCCTTTAGTTGTGTGCAGTTTCACATATATTGGGCTAACTTTTCTCGAGTTTTAGACGAACATACACACACACATACATTATTTTTATATAGATTAGCTGTTATTCGCGGCTTGGCACACGCAGTATAAGACAAGTGTTAGTGTAGGTCTTCGTCGGAATGAGATTATTTTGGAATAAAAGGTAGCTTAAGTCACTGTCCTGACCGAATACAATCACCTTAAAAAATCATGTTAATGGATTGCTTCATTTTGACGTGAAATAAGGACAAACAAACATACTTTCTCATTTACAATATAATAAAGTATGGATAGTCAGTCTAGTCGTCTTCCTGTTTCGTAAAATGAATAAGAAATAATCACACATATGCAGATTTCAAATGTAAGCTTAACTAAATTTTGAGGTAGGAAGGAAGAAAAATAATTATTATTTTGACGAGATTTTGTATATCCAA